TTTGGTAGGTACTAACCACTGAATACCGGGAACACCCCACAAGACTTGCTGTTTTGGAGATGCTCGGACCCAGTGGTCTATCCATCACTATTTGGCCCTTGACAAAGTCACTCAGATCTTTTCACTTGCCCATTTTTCTTGCTTCCAACACATGAAATCCAAGAATTGACTGTTCACTTACTGCCTAATATATCCCACACATTGACAGCCGCCATTGGAACAATATAATCCCTGTTATTCACTTCACCTGTCAGTGGTTTTAATATTGTGGCTGACCAGTGTATATATATATTTATATATAAGGATTCTAAATCATCAAGGCTATAAAACCTCTTGGAGTTGTGGTCAGTATGTGCTGTAGTGTAGGCAATGCTCTCTGTGTGCATAAAGGGTAGGAGACTTACATTCCTAACAAAGAGTGGGTTTTAAAGCAGCTGTCAGGCTTTGCACTTTACACCAATGAAAATCTCCAAGAATGAGAAAGGCTTTTTTGTATCCCTAGTCTCGTACTCTGACATCTGACACTAAAACACAAAATGCTGAGACAGCAGAAAGAATACATGGGAAAAAAGTGTGTGGAGTAGCAGCTCCCTCTAGAGTTCCTTGAGGGATTAGCACCCTCTAGTGTTTGCAGGGTGAGTCATTGTTCGGGGCCCCAGGGCAGCCACAGGTATAATTACCGAGACGTATGGCTGTCAGGGCCGACATTTACACAGCTGATATCAATGGCGCCTGTTATTTTAGCTACACCAGTCAATGCGCCCTTTGTATCTTATGCCACCAAAATATAATTAACCATTTCATGTGTTTGCGACACTGCTCTTGAAGAAAAAAAAAGGTATTTTCTTTGTGTATCCCCTGACAGGCTACTGTGCACAATAAGATGTACGATATTTGGAAACAGGAGGCCATTGTATACCAGCAGTACAATATTTCTGCATGTTTATACATGTACGTGTGTGAGTATTTACAGACAATGTATGCATATGTTTATGTAGACATGTATATATAACGTTTATATGTGCATGCTGTATCTATGCATGTGTGTAGAACTGAATGCCCAGTGTAAGAGCAGCTCTTCACGCTGGTTCCTTCCAAGTACTTTAAGGCGATGGTTCTTAACGGGGCAATGCAAACAACATAACCAAAACAAGCTTGCGTTTTGGTATACTGCCAACATTCTATAAAAAGTCACACTATGATTTTTAAGAAACAGTTAAGTTTGACAAAAAAATGCAAACATTGCAATATAGCGTACTTGTTTTCCAATTGCAATCTGTGCTGGCTACATTTGTGGGGCATAGAGAGAAAACGCTTTGTTGATAGCTTGCCTGCTAGGAAATTAATTCTAGAGCATTTCTGTAATGGTCCCTCATGCTGAGAAGGGACAAATAGCATAAAGGGACTGGGAGACAGAAACTGTCAAAACTAAATGAGTGTTTATTAAAGAGATTGCAGGAAAATGCAAAATAATAATAAGATAGATGAAGCCATTCCAAGATGCTAGAAAAGAGACAATGAGCCTCTGGATAGCCATTCTTTTCCTCCAGGCATCTAATGGTAGAAGACTCAGATTGACATCTGGAAGGTGCCACAGATATGAATGAGTGAACATCAAACACAGGCAGTATGTAATTCCATTCTCTGAGCAAACTGTCCATTCAATTCTAGTCTCTTACCAGCATCATAGGTCTTCCATGGACATATTGTAACTTCAGGTCTTTACATCTGCACAAGTCCAACATTCATTGGGATTTTGGTTTGGGTGTCTGGTGTTTTGGTTTGGTGGTGCTGTATTGGAATGTGTGACCTATTATATGTAACCAATATTATATGTAACCAATTCAGCTTAATAAAGTGGTCTGGGTGCCAGGTCCATCTAGGATTAACCCTGCCTTCTGTAAACATAGCAGTTTCAGGGAAACTGCTATGTTTACAAATGGGTTAATCCAGCCTCTAATGTCTGTCTCATTGACAGTCGCTAGAGGCGCACTTCTCACTGTGATTTTCACAGTGAGAAGACGCCAGCGTCCATAGGAAAGCATTGAGAATGCTTTCCTATGGACTGGCTGAATGCGCGTGCGGCACTTGACGCGCATGTGCATTCAGCCAATGACGTCGGAAGGAGGAGGAAAGTGTTTAACCCCCTTCCTCCCCCTTTAGCCTGGAAGGAGTAGGACCCTGAGGGTGGGGGCACCCTCAGGGCCCTATAGTGCCAGGAAAACAAGTTTGTTTTCCTGGCACTATAGTGGTCCTTTAACTTCTGTAGCTGGGAAAGTATTTGAAAGGGTAATAAGGGATAATATTCAAGAATTCTTTGATGAGAACGTGGTTATCAGCAAACATCAGCATGGCTTTATGAAGCACAGGTCATGTCAAACTAACTTGATTGCATTCTACGAAGAAGTAAGTAGAAGTATAGATCAGGGTGTTGCAGTGAATGTGATCTATTTGGATTTTGCGAATTAGAGATAACCACACACGAGAAGGACTTGGGAATTGTTATAGACAACAAACTAGGCAACAATGTGCAATGTCAACAGCAGTGGCCAAGGCCAGTAAGGTATTGTCATGCATGAAAAAGGGCATTCATTCTCGGGATGAGAATATCATTTTGCCTCTTTAGAAATCACTGGTAAGACCCCATATTGAATATGCTGTGCAATTTTGGGCACCTGTTCTAAAGAAGGATATTATGGCACTAGAAAAAGTGCAGAGGCGGGTTGCAAAATTAATTAAAGGAATGGAACATTTTAGCTATGAAGAAAGGTTAACAAATTTAAACCTATTTAGTTTAGAAAAACGTCGCCTGAGAGGGGATGTGATAACATTATACAAATATATTCGGGGCCAATACAAACCATTTTGTGGTAATCTATTCACAAACCGGACTTTACATTGGACGCGAGGTCATGTGTTTAGACTGGAAGGAAGAAGATTTAGTCTAAGGCAAAAAAAAAATTTTTTAACGATAAGAACAATCAGGATGTGGAATTCTCTGCCTGAAGAAGTGGTTTTATCAGAGTCCGTACAGATGTTCAAACGGCTACTAGATGCATACTTGCAAAAACAGAATATTCAAGGATATAATCTTTCAATGTAGAGTAAATACTTCTTGATTCAATGATTAATCTGACTGCCATTCTATTCTAAAGATGGAATTTTTTTCCTAGCTTGTTGCAAAATTGAAAGTGCTTCAAACTGTGTTTTTTTGCCTTCTTTTGGATCAACAGCAAAAAACTAATATGAGGAAGGCTGAACTTGATGGACACGTGTCTTTTCAGCCTATGTAACTATGTAACTTCACCACAATGAAAATGAGTAATTCTGCAGATTTACATGCTCTGTTCTTTGGTGGGGATATCAATGGATACCACCAACTAACATGTTCCAAAAAAGTCTTACGTCCTTTCATGAGATGTTTCTGCATTGGCACTAGCAATTCCATCCATATCTGAAAACCATTTATTGCCTGAGTGAATCAGATAACACAACAACAGGTTGACACTAAACCAAGGGACAGATTTATAGGTATACTGGCACCATGACCACTGTTGCAGGTTCCAGTGGTTTGGGTGCTTAGGGTGGGCCTGTAATGCATGCTTTAAGAGTTGCATTGTCGTGGCAGGTGGGCATACCCTCTCATGGCCATTGGAGGTAACTAAAAACCTCAATTTGTTTAAAAATACATAGGGATTTGGGTAACTTTTTTTTCTATGCTTTAAGAGTGTTGTATGTGGGATACGTGCTGTATGTACCCTCTGCATATACACATATATTGATATATATATATAGTAGAAATTACGTATGCATGTATTAATTTATGTGTCTGTACTAAGACATTTACTTCTGTCCAGTTCCATTAATGCCCTTGTTTTTTTTTTTGCAAAATAGATATGGAATTCTTGTCTGAACAAACACAAACAAGGCCTTTTTAATTCTACAAAACCCTCTCCCTTTCTGCTGACCCGATATATTTTCACATTATGGTCATTTGAAAATATTGTGGCAACTTGGGGGTGAAGGGTATTCAGTCAGAATATTTGAACCAATTCTAGGTACAATTACTGGAGGCCACAGACTGCCCCACACCGGCAGAGTTTGGCAGAGCAAACTTTTCACAAGTATTTGTGCGTGTCCCTGCAGAGCGAGCACAGCAGACAAACTGTAAAGCGTGGCTGTGCTGGAGGCAGTGATGGGCTGTCTAGAGCCTTTTACTGCATTGGCCTGCTGACTCGTCACTAAGAGTTTAAGGTTTTCCTTTGATTTAATTATATTGCCGTTCAAACCCCTGATCATGACTTGCTGCTAACAGCTGCTTTGCCAATCTGTCAAAATGCATTTACTTAAACTTCATGAACTATAACATGTTCCAAACCACAAACAATATCCCCAAATACAAATGTGCTTGGAAGTGAATCTTAAAGGGTTTCCACAGCATCCATTGTAAAATTCGTGTGGCGTTATCATCGTACAGGGCTTAAAATGTAATCACGCAAAAGCACTGACCATGGTTGTATAATCCTTTCATGGTTCAGATTTATGTCAAACCAGGCCTTGCTATCAATGGCAAAGAGGAAATAACTCATTGGCTTATTCACTAAAGAGTGACTTACAGAGCAGAATTAACCAATTGTCTGCCTGGGGCCCAGGGATTAGGCCGAGGCAGGGCCGCCATCAGAGGGTGACAACCATGACGTTCTCACGGGCCCAGCAGCCCATGTGTAGCGGCGGAGCTGCCGACGGTGCAGCTGCACCGGAGCTCCACGCTGATAGGGTCCATCAGGTGGCCCAAGCATTTATGGGGCCTGGTCAGTGCTGCGGCCGTGTTATAGCTCACTCTGCAAGGAGAGACAGCCAGGCAGTGAAGAGGGAGAGCCAGCCGACTCCCATCAGCCCCAGCCACCCCCCTACAAGGAAAAGGCAAGAAACAGGAGGATGGCTGAAAAGATTAGATGTGTGTGTGTCAATGTGTATGTATGTCAGTCTGTCTGTATGTATGTATGTCAGCTTGTATGTATGTCAGTCTGTCTGTCTGTCTGTCAGTCTGTATGTTTGCATGTCAGTTTGTATGTATGTCAGTCTGTCTGTCTGTCTGTTTGTTTGTATGTCTGTCTGACTGTCTGTCTGTATGTCAGTCTTTATGACATTCTGTCTGCATACCTGTCTGTATGCCGGCCTGTATGCCTGTGTGCCTGCCTGTCTGCCTGCCTGTCTGTATGTCTGTCTGTATGTATGCCTGCCTGTATGTCTGTATGTATGTGTGTCTGTATGCCAGTCAGCCAGTCTGTCTGTCTGTCAGTATGTGTATGGTCCATGTATGTCAGTATGTATGTGTCTGTCTGGATTTATTTATGTATGTGTCTGTATGTATGTCAGTGTGTGTGTATGTTTGTATGCATGTGTGTGTGTCTGTATGTATGTTAGTATGTGTCTGTGTGTCACTATATATGTCTGTACATGTGTTTATGTGTTTCAGTATGTGTTTATCTTTGTGTGTGTGTGTATCTGTGTCCTTTTGTATCAGTGCATGTGTTTATGTCTGTGTGTGTATTCCTGTGGGCGAGATTTAGAGGGGCCCTGGGGTCAGGCTTGGAGGCAGGCCCTGGGCTCCAGACCGTGAGCTATTTTAGGGTTCCCAAAATTTCTGATGGCGCCCCTGGACAGAGGCCCAGAACCATAAATTTCCTTGGTCTCATTAACCATTTATATATGAAGAAAGAAAGGGGACCGACTCTGGTAACCTGCCTCAGGCCCTGTGGGATCTTAATCCTTATCTGGTGAGCTGTCATGATTTGATACTTTACTGCAAAACCTAGGGCCAAATAAATTAAGAAAATAAAATCTTCAATCCAGCCACACCAGCCATTGTTTTACTATTGTGACATTTTAGCTTCAAACTCTCTGTTGACTTACAGGTCAACACAAAGAACTACTTATGGAACACGGCCCTCTGTGTTTGCTGAGGATGGTAGAATGGCAGTCATTTTAGTAAGAAGTTAGATAGAAGGAGTTAATGAAAAAAAAGGATTACGGTATATAGATACAAATTCTGGTGATGAAAAGGTTAAAAGAAGAAGCGAGTAGAATGCATTTAGTGCAGTCAGGTACTGTTTCATTTTAATATAAATTGTGTTTTATAATCCAGCATATACATGTAGCTATCAATTATGTGAAATGGTGTTTGTTTGTCTGTCGTTTTGGCTTTTAGTGCGATGAGTTCCCTCTCCAGCTACACCCCCACCTCCCAATAGAAACTGGGAAAAAGAAGCAAAGCCTTCGCATTTCCAAAGTTCATTTTAATGGAGCTTTGTTTTAATATCAGAAAGTCAATTTAATAACTAATCTCAGCCATTAAAAAATAATAAAAAACTACTCTGTACAGTGGGCACTGGAGATTAAACCACCACCGCGGCATTCCTTTCTATTCTGAACACAGTTGTGGGTATGATGGGGCCTACTCTGGAGAAATCTATTGAAAGCAGTGAATGTTCAATAACAAGTTCCTACTATGATAAGTTCTCATATATTAAACAGGGCGACTTGGATACAACTGTGTCAGAAGTTTTTGGACAAAGACACTTTATGGCGAGAAAACATTGACCACATTAGACCGCTCCCTTCCATGTTTATTGGCTTAATTTGTTCACTTTGTGCCATACAGCAGGGATCAATGGCCTGTATGTCTCTCTGGATGTGAGTTGGATGTCCACTAGAATGTAAGCTCCTTTGAGCAGGGCCCTCCCCATCCTCTTCTCTTGCAATTATTTGTTTGTTTGTCCACCTGTCCACCTTGTCACTTTGGGATTATTAATAATAGTAATGAGCAGACTTTTAGGAGGGGAGGGGGGTTTGGAATAAGCGAATTACGTAAAATTCCAAGATACACATATAGTTTATAGATTGTTATCCGGAATCCTATTATTACCCTAGGCTTTAGGTATTCTAAGTATAGTTAAGCATATTATAGTTTATAAATATATATGTATCCTATGGAACTCATTTTTTTTTTTAAAGACACAATATGGGAAAAAGATCCCGTGGTTACTGTTAAGCACATATACTGTCAGGGGTCTGGAGCGGGAGGAACCCAAAATGCAGAACAATACCAACTGTGAAGTACCACAATGGAGAATCCAAAGACGTGGTCAGGGAGAAGGTAAGGTCAGTCCAGGGAGTGTAGATTCTTGAGCGATATTACAGGCAGAATACCAGGAACCAGTAAGACAAGGGTTAACAGAACAAGTAAACTCAAGAACTGCTACGTATTGAGATGTGCAGCAGAGAGGATTAAATAGGGAGCTGGAGGCACTTCCTCCCCACGTATGAGAGGAGACCCAGCATCCGGTAGGACCAAATAAGAGGGAAAACTGCAGCATGGCAGTTGGAGTAAGAGGTCTACTGACTGGTAGACTGGTAGCTGCTGCAAATGTTATCATCTCCAATGGGAATTAGTAAAATATTATAAATACTAAAAGGAATGGAACATATCAGCTATGAAGAAAGGTTAACAAATTTAAACCTATTTAGTTTAGAAAAACGTCGCCTGAGAGAGGATATGATAACATTAAACAAATATATTCAGGGCCAATACACAGTCATTAGTTTGACTCGGAAATTGTCTGGAAGGTCCAGGGATCTGCTCCTTCCAACACGTCCATCATTGAGGTAATTTTAACCATCTAGCATGGAAACCAGGTACTGCTTAGTATTTATAATCTTTTACTAATTCCCATTGGAGATGTTAACATTTGCAGCAGCTACCAGTCTTCCAGTCAGTAGACCTCTTACTCCAACTGTCATGCGTCAGTTTTCCCTCTTATTTGGTCCTGCTGGATGCTGGGTCTCCTCTATAGGTAGGTTTACAGCTGTAGATGCCGGATTTCAATCCTGATGCTCACTAATTGGTTGAGATCATTACCAGATCTCTGTCAGCCAATGAATAAGTGGCTGCACATCAAACTCCTGCTCGATGGCTGGCTGATGGTGGAGTTGCCATGGAGTTACACCTCTGGCAGCCAATGGATTAAACTTTGTATGTTTCGAATGTGCAGAATTTCACAGTGATGCTTATGTGGTTAGGATGCTTGGTGTAACCTTGAGTATGGATATTATAGTATAGCAAATGATAACAACATATATTTTTGTGGTAATCATCTCATCAGTAAATGATTGGTCTCAGGTCTCTACACGTGATGTATACTTTATGATGTCCTCATGCATTCTTCCGACAGACATACATGTTATGTAGATTAATGTATCTGTGTAGATAGTGTGAACAAACACATATGTTATGTGTGAATAGCATGCATAATCTGTCTGTAGTAACTCACTGTATGATGAATAAATCCCTATAATCTATCTGTAATACCAAATTAATCAGAACTACTCATCTGCTGAGTTTTATACACTGAGAACTTTTAATCAAGTCGTTCTGGATATGACTGAACTTTCCATATCAGGCATTTCCATAAACAATTATACATGATGGAAATATCTGCAAATATACACAAAAACACTCTGCTCCTTCTGCTCCAATAATACAAACTAACACAGAATTCCAAACTTAACACTCCTCTCCTTCCTCCAGCGCTCCGATTATTAAATGTCACAGTATGAATAGAATCTTCCATCACTAAATGCGCCAAGGGGTGCGGAGGAAATTAGGAGCTTAATTTTTTGGGGCACAACTAGACTGGATTAAAGAAATTCTGGAGTAAAGTGCTAAAAGCATAGCAATTAGCAGGAACATTCCGTGTTTTTCTATGATAATTGCTCCAAGCGTTAGATTTTGAGTGGGGAACATGCAGTACCTTTAGGCCTAGGTGTAGTGTATCCCACTGCAATATCACGAAAGCACGTTGACCGAATTGTCAATCACTTTATTCATTCATTCACACGGAAATGCTTAACTCTTCATACTACTTCTCTCCAAAAATAGATGATATAAGACAAAGACGAAATATTCTAGGACCTATTTCCTTTCAACATGTCTCCCGCATTGCCTAGATTTGAAGGTTATGATCCGTTGAAAGATAGGTAATTAGCGGATAACAAAGGTTTTACCCACTCCCACTGAAATGAACAGGAGCCGGTAAACGCTAAGGAACACCTGGTTTCAGTGCTATACAGTAACAATTGCCACCTGTCCCAATCTAACTAAAAATTTAAATTGTATTTTCTAGCTATAAAGAGAAAAAGACACGATAACAAATGTGCATTTATCCTATCTTTAAAAATGTATATTTATTCTATATTTAAGTGTATTTATACACTAATGCCTATAAACATATAGCATGTAGTTTACTATAAATACCTGCAAAACGTGGTACAGAGGGAAACCTATTCAGCTGTTCACGGGTGAACTGCGCATGCTCGGAACAAACCATTTACTGTCAGGGGAGGACCACCCACAGGAAATCCCTGATCCTGCCTTTACAATTGACATTACATGGAATAACTATGATAAAGCAGGACATCAAACAAGACCGCCTGCTAAGGGCTAGTGGAATGGATAGCGGTATTATTGTTCAGTTTGATCCATTCCTTTACTATAGACAAATAATGAACATTCTCAAAAAGCTGAAATTTTGAAGCATAGACAAAATCATAAAATAAAGACAGAGATTCCATTATCAGAAGCTTCATGCACAACGTTTGAGGCAATTTTTTGGTGCTTTACACATTTCAGTTAAATCATAAAGAATACATTCACTCCCCATCATGCTTTCTCTGCCTTCAGTCACCCAAAATCCTGATCAGCGATAAATGCCTCGTAGACCTCGTAGAACACATGATTCATTAATGTGATATATGGATTCTGCAAAAGAGTAACTCTGGAAACATCTTAGGCTTCCTCCTACAAACTGGAGTCAGAATAGGAATAACACATCTCCCAAAAGATGAGCCAAGGACAGATCAGAGATTATGGTGAATTTATATCCCTATTTATTACAAATGTTTATCAGTCTTTTGCGGTATGTGGCTGACAGTTTCTCCTTCAAAAACTAATTTAATAAATGCAAAAGCCTGGCCAAGACCGTAGCAAATTCTTTCATGTAAACCAGTCTCCTAAAACAAGAATATATTTAACATTTGCAGTGCCTAAAGACCAAACCAGGTAGACCTGTGATACGATCATAAGCAGGTGAGAAAAAGACGTGCGCTCATACAACCATCTTTGGAATGTCATCGCACTGGTGACACGAA